TAGCAAAAGAAGATAAACAACAAATATCAAAACCCCACCACATGTAAGGCATTGTTCTTACTATCTATCAAAATTCTCTTTAAAAATTCTTTGGGGAAAAAAATAAAAAATAAATAAGTAAATAAATAAATGTTCTTTGGGATGCCCATTATACATACAAGAACACTAAGATGTATAACAGTTAAGAATTGTTAAAACTCATTCAACTAGTAAGTAGCAGAGCCAAAACCTAGAAACTTAACTATCACTAAATAATGAGATTAAAAGATTTATCCAAAACTCAACTATATTTCTTCTACAGACTAGCAATGAATTAGTAGTAAACAAAAAGAATATGGAATTTTAAAAATAGTTCCATGTAGGGCAGCTCCAGTGGCGCAGCGGTTTAACGCCGCCTGCAGCCCGGGGTGTGATCCTGGAGAGCCGGGATCAAGTCCCACATCAGGCTCCCTGCATGGAGCCTGCTTCTCCCTCTGCCTGTGTCTCTGCCTCTCTCTCTCTCTCTCTCTCTCTCTCTCTCTCTTTGTGTGTGTGTCTCTATGAATGAATAAATAAAATATTAAAAAAATAGTTTCATGTATAATAGCATCACATAAAATAAAATACTTAGGAATAAATTTTCAAAAGAAGTGCAAGACCTTGATGTGAAAACTACAAAACACTACTGAAAGGGCAGATTAAACACAACTTATATAAAAATCCCAGCTAATTTTTGCCAAAAATTAAGAACCTGGCCCTAAAATCCATAAATAAGGGGCCAAAAAAAGCTAAACAGCCTTGAAGAAAACCAAAGTTACAGGATTTATATTTAATTTCAAAACCTATTACAGGGCTACTATAATCAAATAGTGTAGTACTGGCATAAGGATAGACAACAGAATAGAATTGAGAGTCCAAAAATAAAACCTAACATATAGTCAGCTAGGTTTCAGTAGGGTGCAAAGACCATTCAATGGTATAAAAACAATCCTTTCAATATACAGTGCTTGGACAACTAGATCATCATAAGCAAAAGAATGAATTTGGATCACTATCTTACAACACACACACAAATTAACTCAAAATGGATCAACAATGTAAATATAAGAGTTAAAAACAGAAAACCCTTAGAAGAAAGCAAAGGAATAACTCTTCTTTTTTTTTTTTTTTTTTTTTTTTTTTTTTAGGGATAACTTCTTGACCTTGGATTTGGCAATGGATTCTTAGATATGACAGCAAAAGCATGAACAACAAAAGAAAAAATTGATAAATTGGACTTCATCACAATTAAAACTTTTTATCAACAAAGGACATAATCAAAACAGTGAAAGACGGAGGAGCACTTGGGTGGCTCAGTGGTTGAGCATCTGCCTTAGACTCAGAGCATGATCCTGGGGTCCTGGGATTGAGTCCCACATCAGGCTCCCTATAGGGAGCCTGCTTCTCCCGCTGCCTATGTCTCTGCCTCTCTCTCTGTGTCTCTCATGAATAAATAAAATCTTTAAAACAAATTTTTTTAATTAAAAACAAAAGTGAAAGACAACCTACAGAACAGGAGAAAATATCTGTAAATCATGTATCTGACTAGGGTTTCATATCCAGAATACTTAAATAACTCTTACAACTCAATCTATAACAAATAACCCAATTAAAAAAGGGACCTAAAAAATGGACAAAGGATTTTAATAGACATTTCTCCAAAGAAGATACACAAATGGCCAATAAGCACCAAAAAATCCCCAACATCATTAGTCATCAGGGAAATGTATATCAAAATTGCAATGAGATACCATTTTATACCTACCAGGATAAAGTTAATAAATAAATAATAAATAAATAAATAAATAAATAAATAAATAAATAAAAAAAAAGACAATAACAAGGATTGGAAGGGATGCAGGGAAACTGGAGCCCTCATACTTTGCTGATGAAAATGTAAACAATGTAATACCTTAGGAACAGATTGTCAGCTCCACAAAAGGTTAAAAAACAGTTACCATATGATCCAACAATTAGGATATGCCCAAGAAAAATTAAAACACGTCCACACTAAAACTAATAAATGTTCCTAGCAGCATTTTTCATAATAACCAAAAAGTGGAAAAAACCCACATATGTATCAAGGAATAAATGGAAAAACAAGGGGCACCTAGGTGGCTCAGTCAGGTAAGCATCAGCTTCAGCTCAGGTGTTGATCTTGTGATCCTAGGGTCAAGCCCAAAGTCTGGTTCCTCAAGTGGGGAATCTGCTTGACCCTCTTCCCCTCACCCTGATGGTACTCTCTCTCTCTTTCAAATAAATAAAATCCTTTAAAAAAATGTACAGGGATCCCTGGGTGGCGCAGCGGTTTAGCGCCTGCCTTTGGCTCAGGGCGCGATCCTGGAGCCCCGGGATCGAATCCCACGTCAGGCTGCCGGTGCATGGAGCCTGCTTCTCCCTCTGCCTATGTCTCTGCCTCTCTCTCTCTCTCTCTCTCTCTCTCTCTCTGTGTGTGTGTGTGACTATCATAAATTTAAAAAAAAAATTAAAAAAAATGTATAAACAGGGCAGCCCGAGTGGCTCAGCGGTTTAGTGCCACCTTCAGCCCAGGGCGAGATCCTGGAGACCTGGGATCGAGTCCCACATTGGGCTCCCTAAGTGGAGCCTACTTCTCCCTCTATCTGTGTATCTGCCTCTCTCTGTGTGTCTCTCATGAATAAATAAAATCTTTAAAAAAAATGTGGCATATCCATTCAATGGAATATTATCCAGTAATAAAAAGGAATTAAGTACTTATAAATGCTACCACATAGATGAACCATAGAATGCCTGTACAAAGTGAAAGAAACCAGACTACATATTGCAAGATTATATCATGTGAAATATCCAGAATAGTGAAATTGGTAGAGACAGAAAGGTTACTGCCAGCAGCTAGGAGAAAGGTGAACAAATAATGCTAGTGTGAATGGCATTTCTTTGAAATATGATGAAAATGCTAAAAGCAGATAATGGTGATATATCTGGGCATATAGCGATTATTCACTATAAACTATGAAACTGTACATTGAAAAGGTTGATTTTATAGTAGGTGAATTATATCTCAACAAAGCTAGGTTTGTTTTGTTTTCTTTTTAAGACACTTGAAAAGACAGTGATGGAAATGTAATATACTGCATGGTGACTATAGTTAATAATACTGAATTGTACATTTGAAAGTTGGTAAGAGTAAATCTTAAAAGTTCTCATAAGAAAAGAAACTGTAACTATGTGTGATAACAGATGCTAACTGGGCTTACTGTGGTGACCATTTTGCAATATATACAAATATTAAGTCATTATGTTCTACACCTGCAACTAATGTTATATGTAAATTGTATCTCAATAAAAAGTCTTTTAAAAATCCATATAAACTGCAAAAACGACACACTGAAAAGCATCTAATTTTTCTATTTTTCTTCAGATGCAATCGCACCTCCTAAAGTCCTTTCTATATATTCACATTTTTCCAGTCAAAAACAAAAAAAAAAAAAAGAGAGAGGGATGAAATCAACTACTAAAATTCAAAAAACCGGGACACCTGGGTGGCTCAGAGGTTGTTGTCTGCCTTTGGCTCAGGGCTTGATCCTGGGATCGAGTCCCACATCAGGCTCCCTACAGGAAGCCTGCTTCTCCCTCTGCCTATGTCTCTGCCTTGCCTCTGAGCCTCTCATGAATAAATAAAGTCTTTTTAAAAATAAAGTAAAATAAAATAAAATAAAATAAAAATTCAAAAAGCCATGAAAGAAAAGAAAAACCAGCCCCTGAAATACCAAATAACTTTCAAACAACTCTATTTTAGCACGGACTCCGAACTAAAACATAAATCTCAATTTTAAAATATTACATAAAAACTACAAACACTCAGAAGAAGGTCTAAGCAAATTGCCAACTTTTCTGAATAAACAGTAGTTCAGATTTACTTTGATAAAATGTAAATATTTACCTGCCTGGAAGGAACAAAATCCTATATGCCCAGTGTTCCCAAATGATGAAGAGAAAGAAGCATGTTTTTGTGTTTTGTTTTGTTTTGTTTGTTTTTGAATCAGGGTTGGTTTTAGAATTAATTCTAACCTGGCGAGGGTATACACAGCTGATGGTTTATAGTAAGAAACGTACTCTCTGATTTTGCCTGGAACATACTGAAAACATGGCGCTATACAGTCACAGAAGTCGGGACCTGAGGGAAATCCCATCCTACGGTAAATCTGAGAGACACGTACTACTCTCAAGAGCTCCTACTGGGAGACTGCCGCAGCGAGCCAGCCACCACCTGGGACCACGACGCCAGGTGCGCGGTAAGCAGAACAGGTCCCGGCAGCTGGGAGCCCACTCGGCGCCCCAGTGCCCGTCGAGTCGGCTTGGTCCTAACAGCTCGACAGTCTGTTCCAGTCAGAATCTGCGTCTCTGCGCCTCGGAGAGTCCGAGGCCCTGCAGGAGTGCCTCGAACGCCTGGGCAGCCTGGGGCCACCCCCCGCCCCGCCCCACCCCACCCCATCCTCCGACGGCCACACCTCCAGAGTCCGTGGCGCTGGCATCCTTCACCCTGCCGGGTGCCCCCGCGCTCGGGTGGACGTCAAGCATTCCACGGTCACTGCGCGCTGAGCCACCGCCAGGCTTGGCCCCCCCACCCCGGGAACCGACGGCTTGCTCCCTGCGGTGCCCTCGGGGGCGGTCTGCACCTGAGTCTCGGGGCAGCACGGACACCTGTCTCCCGGCGCGGCCCCCCGCCTGCGGCCCCGGCCAGGGGCGGCCGCCACCCCGCGGAGGCGAAGGCGGCGGCCACAAGGGGAGAGGTGGTGCGCAGTAGGCGCCGACTGTATACCCCCCCCCCGGGCGCGCGCGCACAAGCCGAGAGGGCGGCGGCGCGAGGCCGGCCAGCGCGGGCCGGACGGTGCGGCGGGTTCTGCCCCGCGGGCGCTCGCCAGCCGCCGAGGCCCGGCCCGGCTCGTACCGACGGAGTTTCACAAAGAAAGTCTCCCGGCCCGCGCCCCTCACGCACTCACCGGCGCCGGCGCCGGCGGCGACTCTGGCTCCCGCCGCCTACGGCTCCGTGCCGGGGTCGGCCCCGGTGTGGGCTCAGGCGCAGGCGGCGGCGACTGCTCCATCCCCGCGGGGCCCGGGCCGCGTCCGCCTCGAGCTAACGGTCCCGCCAGCTAGGCGCGCGCGCCGGAGCCGCGCGCCATGTTCCCGCCGTCCCGCGCGCCGCCGCGGCAGCCCGCGCCGCCCCCCCCGCAACCGCGCACGCGCGCACTCGCCGCGCCGGCCCCGCGCGCGCCTCCGCGGGGGCCCCCCACCGCGCACGCGCGCACTCGCCGCGCCCCTTCCCCGCGCGCCCCGCCTGCCCCGCCTCGCGCCCTCCGGAGCCCGCCGCTGTTCCCGGCATCGCGCCCACCCCCGCCGCCCCCGTCCGGCCTGACTGGAGCGCTGGCCGTTCTGGACTCGGCGCCGCCGCCTGCCTCGCTGCGGACGACCCCCGCGCGGGGCTCCGGGCACCTTCCCCGCGCTGCACCCATGCGCTTCGCGGGTCACGCCCGGCTTGCGGCGAGGGGCTTACCCCCAAGAGGCGCCGGGGAAGAGCGCGGCTAAGGTGATGAGATCTCCGTCTTGGAAGTGTGCAAGCACGTGCGCGAAAGTAAGTGGCACAGGGAATGCCCGTGTCCCTGGGCCAGGCTCCATGGAGAAGCTGAGTTCGAGTCCCACATCTCCTTTGCATGACTAAGGTCAACTAAGGCACCCTGGAAGGACCCAATGAAGCAATGCGGATGGTGTCAGCACAGCTCCTAGTACTAGGTGGTAGTCGGGTGACCGGTCCTACGTAGTTTTGCGTAATGGTTAAAACCAAGGTTCTATTTATTTATTCATGAGAGAGAGAGAGAGAGGCAGACACACAGGCAGAGGGAGAGAAGCAGGCTCCAGGCAGGGAGCCCGACATGGGACTCGATCCCTGGACCCCAGGATCACGAAGGCAGACGCCCAACCGCTGAGCCACCCAGGGATCCTGGAGAAGGGGAAATCTCAGCTCAAGTCTTAGCCTCCACCTCTTGCAAACTGGGAAAACTTTAACAAGTCACTTGATGGAAGCACAGAGCCTCGATTTTGATTTCTAAATCAGCAAACGGGGAGCGTGGCAATACTTCACAGGGTTGAGGTGAGCTTTCAGATGATGCATGTCCCTCCCAGAGCACAAGGCCTTGGGAGCACCAAGCTTTCCAGGCTTCGCTGATAGAATTCTGGCCCTAGCCTTCCAAGAATCCTGAAAGTTTAATGAAAGGGGCTCTGCTCCCAAACGCTGTGGTATAATTAGCTGGGAGGGGTTCCCTCAACCTTGGGGCTGGTGGGACTGTTACTTCCCACATCTTCACTTTCCATTCTCTGCCCCAAACCTCTCTGAAAACCCTAAAGTTGGCAGAAAAACAATAGCATCAAATGTTCTTCCCTAATAGAAAAAGAGAGTCTCCAAGGGTCTCCTATTGGAGTTTGTACATGGTTGAATTTATTAGTTTGAACTTTTCCAGGCAGTAGTGACAATAATTCAATCTGGAGTAAAAAAGGGAAGCAAATTGAAAAGTCTCTGGGTGGTAGCTCACTTCAGGCATAGCTGGATCGAGGTGTTCAAACAAGGACTTAAATCTTGAATCTCTTTCAGCTCTGCTTGCCTCTTGGATGCCTTCTTTCTCATGCAGCTCTCTCCAGTGTCCTGGGCAGCACTTAGCTCATATATGATCAGGAAAGCCAGAGCTATTTGCCAATAATTGCAGCCAGTCTCAGGGTTGACTCATTGCACTTATTTGAAGTCCCTACCTGAGCTGATCACAGCAAGAGTGGCCAAACCTGGCTATACTGAGCCCCCTAGGAAGGGGATGGGGTCAGGGGAGTGAGAAGAGGGACACCTCCCCCAGGAAAATAGCGATACAGTTGTCACAAGAGGCATCAGATGAGGACAGGCACAAATAAAAGGTGTCCACTCCACCATTATCTAGGCATGCAGCAGGTGGAACAACATGCCTGTTCTGCAGAAGGGAGTGGCAGTTACTTCAGCCACTGGAAATTGCCCCTCCACCTCTGCTCTCACCATCCACCCAGTCCTGACATTTCCCAAATGTTAGGTCAAAGGCATCTCAATTATCTGCCCATCTTGTGTGTGCCTCTGCCCCCAAAACCTGAACAGACTGCACTACTTCCCTGCTCAAGGATTTTCTATGGCTCCCCTCTAGGTACTTATGTGGTCCTCCCACCTTTAATGATGGAAGCCACCAATGACAGATCCCTTATTACATGTAGACACTTTAAATGGCCTTCCCCCATTCAATCCTCAAAAACACCATATGAGACATACTCTTATTGCACCTACCTTGTAGATAAGGACACAAAAGCTCAGTAATTTCAAAGCCAAAGTCAGGAAGTACAAAGAGCTCATACTGACACGATATTGTTTCTACCACTAGTGTTGCCATCCAGGCTCCATTTGCTCATGTTTCAAAGTCTTGGGCCCACCTCTAGGTAGGAGACCAGACAGACATTTAGTTTTACCATTTCCCCTTTTCCCCCATGAGATAAGGAAAAAGAATTGCCTTAAAAGAAAATTGGAGTGGTCAGAAGAAGTGGATGCTGGGTGGCCCCAAATAAGCAGCTGAGGGACATCTGGGTGGCCCAGTCAGTTAAGCATCTGCCTTTAGCTCAGGTCATGATCCCAGGGTCCTGGGACGGAGCCCCACATCAGCCTCTCCCTGTCCCTCTGACCCTAGCCAGCCTCCCACCCCACTCTTGGTTGTTTCTCCCTCTCTCTCAAATAAATAAAATCTTTAAAATAAATAAATAAGCAGTTGACATCTCTTTATTGAGGAATATAGTAGTTTCCTATGGCCTCTATAAAAAATTACCACAAATTGGGTGGTTTAAAACAACACAAATTTATTCTCTTATATAGTTTTGTAGTTCAAAAGCCTGAAATCATTTCTACTAGTGAAAGTCAAGATGTAAAGGACTGGTCCCTCCAGGAGAGGCTCTGAGGGGAGAATCCATGTCCTTGCCTTTTTTCAGCTTCTAGTGGCCACCTGTATCACTTGGCTTATGGCCCTTTCCTCCCTCTTCAAAGCAGCTCACTCCATTCTCTTCTGACTCCTTTGGTGTCCCTCTCAAAAGAAACATTGTGATGATGTTGGACCCACCCAGAAAAGAAGGATAGTCTTCCCATCTCAGGATCCTTAACTCAATCACATCTGCAAAATCTCCTTTGCCACGTAAAGGAACATATTCATACATGATGGGGATTGGGATGAGATCATCTTTGGGAGCCATTATTCTATCTACTATGGTCGGTATAATCAGAGGGAGCAAATAAAAAGTGCTCTGGAAACAGAGAGGAGCTTGCTGACTCTGCTCCAAGAGGGGAAAAATGCCCTAAGAAACCACAGCCTTCACAGTACATATTCAAATGAGCTAAAAACCCATCTAATTTGGCAATCTCAGTCTCCTTCTTTTAAATATGCAAACCACTTAAATCCCCATCTACCCCCCACCCATACACACACACAAACACCAGGCTAGCCAAGCCTCAGAATGCTTGCTCACCCTTCTAATGGAAATTGTCAACCACCACTAACTGCCCACAGCAACAGCTGTGTGCACCGATGCCCTGGTTGGCTCATCAGTGGCATCAGAATCAAGGCATTGGCATTCAACTCATGATATGACCAGTGAGCTATAATGTGGCCTACTATCAACAAGTCAAAGATACATGGGAAGCAAAATCAGTGCGTCAAAGAGACAAGAGGAACCAAGCATTACAAATGCGTGGGCTCCTCATGGATCCCAGGTCCAGACATCTATAACCTTGAATCAAATCCCCTTTATCATGAATGAATGAGCTTTTGTTCCTTGCCACCACGTTATCCCAACTTCCACAGATCATGGAGCTGTACCCTCTTGTAGTAATTGAACACACTGGCATTTAGGATTTAGATATCAGTCTCTTGTGAGTTTTGTCAGTGTGAGTCAATTCAGATCAGTTGTTTTCTGTCAAAGGAGTTATGGGATGACTCTCAGATTTCAAAGCTGTTTGGATTTTAGAAATGCAGATAAGGCATGTGGGCATTTCATGTTGAGCCCATTTCAACATTCCTGAGTCTGACTGTATTTGAGTCCGAGAAGATGAGGAATATTAGAGTGAGAAAGACCTGAGTTGGGTCCCACCTCTGACATTTGCTCTGTGACACTGGACAAGTCACCTTGCTCTTTCATCCTGGGTTTCTCACCTACGACATTTGGGCAGTCAGAGGACTTATACCATAACATCACTGTGAGGACTAGACAAGACCAGCCAAGGGAAGGACTTTATACAGGGCCTTCTCGGTCATTGTTGGCTCAACATGAAATGCCCACATGCCTTATCTGTATTTCTAAAATCCAAACAGCTTTGAAATCTGAGAGTCATCCCCTAACTCCTTTGACAGAAAAAAGCTGACCTGAATTGACATGCGGCACTAATCGTCTTTTCTAACTGTTTTATTGTGAATATTTGCTGCAAACATATTTAAGTGTTTGGTTATAGGACTCTGCTGGGTGTTACAAAATAGAGTCAATGTGCCATGTATCCTTCCTAAAATCAGTAAATATTCTAATATTACAACTTTTCTGGTCCCATAGTTCCAGTGATGATGGACCTGTATCTTTATATGGGTGAGAATGAGAATTTAAAACTGGTTCCTGGGATACGGTACCAAAGTACCTCCTATCTCATGAGGACTTTGGCAATCAGTCAGGCTCTACAAAATCCACCCCAACCTTGCTGTGCACCTTTCCCAGCAACTTGCTAAAGGACCTTTCAAATTTGTATGCAGCTTGCCCAGGCTGAGACCAGGGATACCCACCAGGTTCCAGCCAATGTAAAGCACCAGACAGAAAGCAAAAACTGCAAATACACAAAAAAGCCATGCAAGTAAAGAGCTCCTTATCAAGCAGAAGCACAAGGTTCAGGTTTCACTAGGTTTGGAATTATGTATTGATGATTGGGAAAAAACCACTGTTCGCATAATTAAAATTAAAACTACAATAAACAGATTTAAAGAAAATGGCAGCAGGATTCAAGAAGGTTGGGGTCTTTCATGTTCAACCAGTGTTCACGACACAGCAGCACACACAGCCAGACGCTTTGTGGTGTCAGCATCCTCTGCTTCCCCTTCAAGAAGCCGCTTTCGACTTGTGGAAGGCTGGAAATAAAAAGGGAGAAGTGTTCAAAGAAAACCACTGGCTTTAAAATTATTTTTTTTAAGATTTTATTTATTTATTCATGAGAGACACAGAGAGATAGGCAGAGACACAGGCAGAGGGAGAACCAGGCTCCACGCAGGGAGCCCGACGTGGGTCTCCAGGATCATGCCCTGGATCAAAGGTGGCACTAAACTGCTGAGCCACCAGGGCTGCCCTAGCTTTAAAATTATTAAAAATTCCACTATGCTTCCTATAAATTTGGAGCATTTCATGTGAAACTTCTAATACCAAGAATTATGAGTTGCCTTCCTTGACATCTGAGCCCTCACCCCACCTCCCCAGACTCAGACATGCTTATCGAATGGACATTTATTTCCCCTGTGGCATCCAACCACTTGATGTATACTCAAAGTAAGCAGCATAACCACCCTCCCTCCTCTCTGTCATCTTCTCCTAAATTATGAAATTTAAAGGGACTACAATTACCTCTTGCTGGGAGCCCCAAATATTGCTGTTTTGTAGGAAGACAATCTTTTGTGTGTCTTTGTTTTCCCATTCATAAAATTTCAAGGGGACAGTAGGAAGGGGAATATTATTCACCAAAAGAAGACAGAATAGGAATAAACAGATTAACATATACTAACAAAGAACTTTAGAGGGATAAAATTATGATCAATAATCAACCACTTGCCCAGATTTGTACATTTCCAACAAGTTGTTTTTTTTTTTTTAAGATTTTATTTATTTATTCATGAGAGACACAGAGAGAAAGAGAGAGGCAGAGACACAGGCAGAGGGAGAAAGCAGGCTCCATGCAGGGAGCCCGGTGTGGGACTTGATCCCAGGACTCCAGGATCACGCCCCGAGCCAAAGGCAGGCGCCAAACCACTGAGCCACCCAGGAATCCCCCCATTTCCAGCAAGTTTAAATTTGAACTTCTAATAGAGTCTTCCAGTTTTGCCTTACAGGAAACCTTCTGAATGACAATCTCTGGCTGTGCTTTTTTAATGCATTAAACATACTCTTCCTTACTAATTAAATCTTCTAAGGGTGCTAAAGCAGATCGAGCTGAAATAAAATATCTACTACATTATTCCAAAAAATATCTATATACATTAAGCAATTGCTACTAAAGAGTCCTCTCAAGCTCATCACCCTTGCTCATTCAGTCTTTAAAACTGAGCCTATGTTTAATGACCATCATCTGGATACCTGAGCTGGAACCTGGAGTAGAGCTGTAGACTTCTTTTCTTCAGAAAGTAAATTCTGAAATTTTCTCTTCATGTCCTCATCCTGTGAAGAAATGAAAAAAAAAAAAAAACTAAGTAGGCTGTGTGTGACAGAAAGAAAGGTCCTAGAAAGAAAGGGCTAGGGTGCCCCTGGAAAGGAAAGTGGGTAAAGACACCCAGTCTGTCCACCAAAAGGCATGCTCTTGCTGAGGCTCCAGGAGAAAATGGGCACGTGCTCCTCACCTCTGCCTTCCCAGAGGAGTCTAATCAGCAGTCAATACTTAGTCAATACTGGCTGAATCAAACCCACATTCCTCAGGGCTCTCAGTGGGTCAGAGAGAACCACAGACATTAGTAGTCAAAAGACATTCAGAACCAGCACCCCAGGTCCTCTCAGAGGGCAATCAGGAAGCCAGAGGCTGGGACTGGCTCAGCACCCTATGAGCAGACTCCATGAAGCTCCCCCAATATTTCCAGGAGGTGCCCCCTCCCCATGCCAACAATAAGACCATATACTGGGACCATCCTAACAAAGCAACCCAGCACCCCAGCAAATTCTCCTAGCAAATACTACACAAGTCACCAGAAGGACTAGAAGCCCACAATATCCCAGAGCTAATGAGAAAGGAAGACAAATGAACAGATCATAGCATTACAGGTGCTTTGACCACTAGAGGAAGGGTAGGGGCGGGCTGCAAGTGTACACAGAGAACTCCTACCCAGATGTCTATTAAGGGTAATTCCCACTTCCATGAATGTTCTGCAGGGTTCAAGGGTTTGCGTCTGGGAATCCTGAAAAGTAACCTGGTGCAGCTCTACCATCTTCAGAAAGGTGAAATATCCATGACTAGGATGGGGCCAGCTGGAAGACCAGTTTAGCATGTGCACAATACAGACCCACAGCTAGCTGATTCCAAAACCCCGTGTACCTTGCCGCCCAACCCCTTCCCACTCTTCCCACTTAGCTAAGAGCACTACAGTGGGTAAGGGCAGAGGACACAGGAGGGAAGACCTCCAATATGTAGCAGTTTGACACGTACAGAAAAACTGCCGTGCTTGAGGATTAACTCACCTGTTCTATATCTAATAGCTGAATCACCTGCTTCTATCACCGTTTACTGCAGCACTCAGGATAGCACCCCACTGCCCATTCTGAAAGCACCACGTTCATCTGGTTCTGATCCACAATCTCCCTTAGGATCTCGCTTCCTACACAATGCCACTCTCAAAATTCCTTCCCCTATTTCCTTCTATTCCTGCTCACAGCCTTCACTGGGAATGCCCTCCTTGCCTTCCTGCCCATCAACCTCACCCTCCTTTCTCTTTTTTTTTTTTTTAATTTTTTATTTATTTATGATAGTCACAGAGAGATAGAGAGAGAGAGAGGCAGAGACATAGGCAGAGGGAGAAGCAGGTTCCATGCACCGGGAGCCTGACGTGGGATTCGATCCCGGGTCTCCAGGATCGCGCCCTGGGCCAAAGGCAAGCGCCAAACCGCTGCGCCACCCAGGGATCCCAACTCACCCTCCTTTCTCATTCACTCAGTGAACAAATACTTCCTGAGCAGCCTTAGGTGCCAGGCACTGTAAAAGGCACAGGGACCTCCATATAGAGGGACTCAATCAACATTGAAAATGCTGTCCCCCATTGTGACTAAACCGTGTCCACCTCTGCCCCCTAAATTCAAATGTTGAAATAGTAACCACCAATGACTATTTGGAAACTGGGCCTTTAGGGAGGCAATTAAGTTAAAATGAGGCTATATTAGGGTGGGATTCTGATCCAATAGGACTGATGTCCTCATAAGAAGAGAAAGAGACACCAGGGATGTGAGCAAAGAGAAAAGACCATGTAAGGACAGAGAGAAGACAGCCATCTGCAAGGCAAGGAGAGAGGCCTCAGGAGAAACCCAATGTGCTGACACCTTGAAATTGGGATTTCTAGCCTCCAGGACTGTGAGGAAATAAATTTCTGTTGTTTAAGCCACTTAGTCTGTGCTATTTTGTTACAGCAGCTCTAGCAAACTATGCAATCATGTCATCCCCAGATCACTCAGCCTTTAGAAGTTATTCATACTGTATGAACTGCAAGTACCTGAAGCCCAATGGATTGTGGCCCTATCTCATTCTGAGGATCCCCCCCATACTCTGCACCTACCCCTATTGCCACACATGTCCCACTGTCCTATTGTGACTATGGTCAGGGTTGGCCCCCACCCAGACGGTCAACTGCCCAAGGGAAGGACTCCTCTTACTCTTGTGTCCCCAGTATCTACTCATTGACAGAGCTCATTAACTGTCCTCTGAAAGAATGAGTGCACAAATGAAACAGAACCACATGGCAACACCCTGTATGGCAGGTCTTCAGTACAGCCAAACAGAACTCCCCACAAGCTTATTTAGACCTGTATTTAAAACAAGTCGGGCAGCCAGGTGGCTCAGCGGTTTAGCGCCTGCCTTCGGCCCAGGGCGTGATCGTGGGGACCTGGGATTGAGTAGTCCCCCATCGGGCTCCCTGCATGGAGTCTGCTTGTCCATCTCTAGCTGCTCCTCCGTGTGTGTGTGTGTGTGTGTGTGTGTGTGTGTGTGTGTTTTCTGCATGCACATGTGCATACATGCCCTCTCTAATAAATAAATCTTTCTTTAAAATTTTTATTTTTTTAAAGATTTATTTATTCATGATAGACAGAGAGAGAGAGAGAGAGGCAGAGACACAGGCAGAGGGAGAAGCAGGCTCCATGCAGGGAGCCCAACTCAGGATTCGATCCTGGGTCTCCAGGATCACACCCCGGGCTGCAGGTGGCACTAAACTGCTGCGCCACCGAGGCCGCCCAGAAACTTTTAAAAAGGGGGGCAGCCCGGGTGGCACAGCGGTTTGGCACCACCTTTGGCCCAGGGCCTGATCCTGGAGACCTGGGATGGAGTCCCATGTCAGGCTCCCTGCATGGAGTCTGCTTCTCCCTCTGCCTGTGTCTCTGCCTCTCCCTCTCTCTCTTCTCTCTCTCTGTGTCTCTCATGAATAAATAGATAAAATCTTTAAAAAAAATTTTTTTTTAAGTCATCAATTAGCAATAATACGGAAAAGGAGCTCATTATGTGCCACAGGTAGCAATGTGTATTTGTAAACACCCTTCCTTGAGATGTCTACAATCTATTCAAAAATTTAAATTGTGGGCAGCCCAGGTGGCTCAGCGGTTTAGCGCCGCCTTCAGCCCGGGTCCTGATCCCAGGGTCCTGGGATTGAGTCCCATGTCCAGCTCCCTGCATGGAGCCTGCTTCTCCCTTTGCCTGTGTCTCTGCCTCTCTCTCTCTACCTGTGTCTTTTATGAATAAATAAATAAAATATTTTTAAAAAATTTAAATTGTAAAATACCTCAAAGGCAAGCAGGAAGGAGTTCTCTATTTCAGGAACTTAATTTGAGACCAAAATGTGGATATATAGGATGTCATAGGATGATATAAAGGATGTTCCCCAAACTGCACTATTAAGAACAAGAGAGACTAGAACTCACATTCCAAACACTCAGTCCAGGGCCAGACCCACAAAACCATTTGGCTTCTTCAAAACCACTGAAATATTCCCCAAATAAAACCTAAACTATCACTAGCAGATGATTAACGTGGGCAGTGTCTGCATTCTTGTCCACAGTCTGTGTTCATTCCACCCTTTTGCAGCAAAAACAAAATGTGGACGAAAGAGTATTCCAGTGAGACCCCTGTGGCAGGGCTGAACTTCACCTTTTCATCAGTTGTTAGTAACGGTTTTCTTTTGAGACAAACAGAACAAGAAAAATAGGTTACGCACGTTCATAAATTTCGAGCAGCTACAAGCCCTGTTCCCTGGCCTAACTGGCAAGCTCTATTTTCTTCTTTTTTTTTTTTTTTTCCAAGACTAGCACAGTTCCTCCACCTCCACATCTGGCCCCAAGAGTTTCCCTATTAGGGCACATAAAAAGAGCCAAGAGGCATGTTTTTCTTTTTCATCAAAATTAAATCCCCACATGCAAAGGCACCCTTTGTTTCCAAATTCCTTTTCTCCAGGGTCCTGCTGTTTCAAATCTGTGTGGTCTATTAAGTGCTAAATCATCTGACAGATTTCTTCTGGGGGGAGACTGCTGTTTCCAGGGTAATATCCCAAACAAATCTATCTACTTTTTTTTTCTTTTAAGGATTTGTTGTTCTCAACCTGAATTGGCCTGAGCAAAAACCGTTAGGTATGGAGGGCTGGAACAGAGAAAGAATAGGGACAGTCTTCCCAGAGTCCCAGAAGCACAGTGCTGAAACTGGATGGCCCTAAGGAATTCCCAGACCAGTAATCCCCAGAGTACTTGAGCCTCTAGCTCAAGCTAGCTGGTAAAGTTCCCCATCCCTACAGGAAACAGACCAAATGGAAATTAACAAAGAGGGGTAAGGCTGCGCTGAATGGAGCTGCATTTAACAAAAGGCCTGACATCCATCAGAAAACCTGGCCCACGCAGTAAAAGATTAGCCCAGCAAAGCCACAAAGGACTTCTGAGTCTGGCAGCTAGAATGAGGTCAGGGTATAATCAAACAACAGCCACAATCCCTGGCAGGGACACATAGGTAATAGAGACTTGAAAGTGCAGGTGACAGTCTGTATTAACAGCATGTTTACTCACCAAAAATAAGTGGGCCTCTGTATGCCCAATTACTCGGGCTTGGGAAATAACCAGATTATACCCCAGAGAGGCTACCCTCCTCCTCCTCCTCCTTCCCCTGCTCCCATGACTTAATTAAGGTTGAAGACAGCTGGAATGCAGCCCATCCCACCTGACTGATAGAAGAGGCTGGCATGAGTCAGGTTGTGGCGGAGGTTCCACGCTAGAACCACCTCTCAAAGTACCAGAACCCAACTGCAGACTCAGGGAACCCAAGTGGGACCAGGACAGGCCATAAAGTGAGCTTGGCCGTCCCAGGACCCACAAGTTAATTTTAAAAGGTTATACTCAGGGCACCTCGGTGGCTCAGGTGGTGATTCTGGGATCCTGGGATCGAACCCTACATTGGGCTCCCCACAGGGAGCCTGCTTCTCCCTCTGCCTATGTGTCTGCCTCTCTCTCTGGGTCTTTCATAAATAAATAAAATCTTTAAACAAAACAAAACAAAACAAAAAAAGGTTATACCCAAAGACACACCTACACTCATGACCCATATACACACATAAACATACCTGATACATCGAAAGCTCATTCTAAAGCAAGTGCACATTAAACAGTCTCAACAAGGCAAACAGGTTTCCAACTTCTTCCTTTATCCCTCAGGCACCACTGAGGGCTGCCTATATATTTTATGCTAGCAAGCACTGTCCTAACCCACCTGAAGCCACGGGTGTCTTAAAGCTTCTTCTGTTGTAAAACGCACCTTTGGATCCACCATCAACAACTTCTTGACAAGATCCAGGGCTAAAGCAATAAGATAATCAAATATCAAACCACAGTGGAAAAGGCAGGTACATTAAATCAGCAAAATTAAAGTATACCAGAATCACAGGCCAACATCCAGAAAGACGGGGGACTAAGGTCATTACAAGTCACCAGGTGTGGTGGGCAGCCCCCACCCCCACCCCACCCAGTCCTCTCACTCTGTATTCAGAGCTCTCAGAGAACACCAGGAATGACCACAATGCCCCCATCTCTCCTTGCTCACACATCACCACCTCTTCAACGCTCCCTGTCCCCTCCCTCGTTGCTGGACTCAAGTTCAAACTAATTAAATCTGAACTTCTACCTAGTTCTGAAATGCTCAGGATGCTCAGCCAACTCTCCCTGAGACCCATGGATGGACAGGGAGAGTTTCTCAGCCAGCATCAGGCTCCTCGGAACTGCAGGCTTGGCAGAAACAAAGCTTGACAGCAAGCAACAAGCGGAGGCTGGCTTTTATGTTGCAACAATATTATTCCTTTGACATTCTAAGACAACAAAATTGTTACATAACCTGACATTTAGTTTTATTTTCTACTTCTCCTTTTGAGAATTACAAAGTTATACTTTTAAATTCTAAAACACAAAGTAACTACTTAGGCTCTTACTCACTCAAAGGAGACTTTGTAACTGAAAAGTTACTTATTATTTTGTACACTAGTAGGTACCAGGCACTTGCTCAGGTTACACTTTCTCTCACAAAACCCCTTTAAGGTAGGGGTTTACTGTACCCCCTTTACATTCAAAGGAAAGGGTAACTCAGAGAGGTTAAGTAACTTGCTTAAGGTCACATAGCTAAAAAGTAGCAGACCGAAAATATGAGCCTCAGCCAGCCTGGTCCTGGAGCCCATGTTCTTAACTTCCTTTGCCCCTCAAGAGGTGCAAAACAAACAACAGAAAATAAAAATTAACAGGAGAAGCAAAACAGAATGTAAAAAGAAATTTCCACCACAGTACACACACTTTTTAGAAACCACAAATTCTTAACCCTTTCATATCCATACCCTTTTCTGAGACCTCTGCCCAGACTTCAGGAATGAAGTTGAATTTTCCACTGGTGATCTGATCCTTCAAGGGCACTTGAGTCTTATGCTCAGAGAAAGGTGGGTACCCACTAAGGCTTAATATTGGTAAAGAGAAAAAGGAAAAGAAATCAAGTTATATTCTCAGTGGCATTCAGACATCTAGATTTTTCTTTAAATCAATGGTCAAAAAAAGTCACTCAAATTAAACACAAGCTCTCTACCTGGACACATTTTTGATTTCACCTAAATACCTACAACCAGACGCTGAAGCAATGAAACTTTTCTTACCAAATAAAAAGAATAACTCCTAAACTCCAGCAATCCACCGCTCGGTTATATCCAGCAGTCCCAAAGGAATTAAGAACCTCAGGAGCCAGGTAGGTGGGAGTACCACATAAGGTTCTCATGAGAGAGGTCTCCCCCAAAATCTTAGACTGCCCAAAATCAGTAATCTAAAATTAAGGACAAAAGGGTACCATTTTTAATGGTGTCATAAAAAAAAAAAAAAAAAAAGATTAACATAGTCTGCCAATCCTAAAAGGCATGTGGGCTAGATCAGTTCATATCCTATATGGTTCATGCCTACTATTAATCTGGAATCTATAACTTTAACACTGCAAATTAAATTTAATTTTGCTGAAATTAAAATTTCCAACCCAAGGAAGCAGAAGGTTTTTTCTACAACTTATCTGTGGCTCTCGTAACCTTACAAAAGGTTTATCCCTTATCTAACCCAGACCCTAGGGCACTAATTAGTTACCCAGTTTTCCTTAGACCCTAGTTTCTCAACCAATCTCAACACTGGAATTCCTGAGGAGCTTGGACAAAATACTCACACTTGGGTGCCACCTTCAGCAATTCTGAGATGCAGCTTAGGTGTCATGACTTTTTTTTTTTTTTAATTAATAGGAAATTCTATAGTGAAACCAGGCTTGGGAAGCATGTTGCCCTAGAAAGCAGGGGAAGAGAGTGGATGGGATTGTCTCATCCATCTAGACACCTCTTTCCTTTCTGAATAAAAGTGGTGTGTATACAGTGGAGTTCAATAAATACTCATTAGAATCTGGACCAGAGCAATACCACCTAATCGCTAAAATGATTGCTAATAGTGGAATGGTCAAATTCTGTACCTTTTTATGTTCCCACTTTTTACTTGATAAATTTTATAAGTCTATGAACAAAAATCTACTGGAGTGGCCACATACAGAACATAAATATCTTACCTTTATAAGACAGTCCTCTTTTTGAGATGAGAGTAGAACATTCTCTGGCTTTAAGTCCCGATGTATAATGCCATTTTCATGAAGGTACTACACAGAAAGGGAGGCATGCCTTGGATTTAGAGTAGGTATGTGAGTGAAGACACACAGAAAAACACACACATGTGCGCGTGCGCGCGCGCACACACACACACACACACACATACACAAACCTTTACAGCTCGGTGAAATCATAAGCCAGGTTACTTACAATCATGTTCCCCCAAATCATAGAAAACTACTGGGTAAACGGCTTAATGTTTACAAATTTATTTTCTATGTTTGTTTTTTATTTTTTAAAATATTTTATTTATTCATGAGAGACAGACAGACACACAGGCAGAGGGAGAAGCAGGCTTCCCATGGAGAGCCAGATGTGGTACTTGATCCCAGGACCCCAGGATCACAACCTTGAGCCAAAGGCAGATTCTCAACTACTGAGCCACCCAGGCACCCCTGGGTTTGTCTGGTTGTTTTTTTTTTTTTTTGTTTTGTTTTGTTTTGTTTTTAAAGATTTTTATTTATTTCTTCATGAGAGATAGAGAGAAAGAGGCAGAGACGCAGGCAGAGGGAGAAGCAGGCTCCATGCAGGGAGCCCGACATGGGACTTAATCCCAGGTCTCCAGGATCATGCCCTGGGCTGAAGGCAGGCGCCAAACCACTGAGCCACCCAGGGATCCCTGTCTGGGGTTTTTTTTTTTTTTTTTAAAGATTATATTTATTCATTTGAGAGAAAGAGAGAGTACTCACAAGAGAGAAGAGAGATCACAAGCAAGGGGAAGGGCAGAGGGAGAGGAAGCAGACTCCCTGCTGAGGCAGGGCACCCCATGAAGGCCTTGATCCCAGGACCCCATGATCATGACCTGAACCAAAAGCAGATGCTTAACTGACTGAGCCACCCACGTGCCCCACAAATTTGTTTTCAAGAAAATCTTTAGGGGCACCTGGCTGGCTCAGTCAGTACAGCATTCAACTCTTGATCAGAAAAAGTGAAAAATGCCACTTATGACAGTAGACTGTTTATTTCACTCTTCAAAATAATAAATATCCCTTCACACTGCCAGAAATACAAGGTATCAGTTTCAATAAAAATGTAAATAAGTGATAAAAGTATATTGAGATCTTATTAAAATAAGCCATAAAATTCCACCAAAATAATGTATTTGGTCATTTTTCCCTGAGAGTATTTTTTAAAAGCCACTGTAAAGTACATAACGGTAAATTATCTGTTTAAATACCCAGAATTCACATATTCCAACACAAAGACTAAAAGTTCATCTTCAAAAGCTCTATCTGCAATACAATGTTGATGTTTGTGTGTTCACCATTTTTATACACAAAGTCATCTCTTTAGGGAAAAAAATTCCCACATCCACTGATCTGCACTCAGTTCATCTTAATATTCTTGGTATGATATAAGGGAGAAAATAAATCATTAAAGAGAGTAAAGCACTAGTTAGATGCTAATGGACTTCAATTTATCTGGATGCCCCTCTGGCCTGGAACAAAAATCCTTCCAAAACATCCTTGGGAAAGATAACTGTCAAAACCCCCAGGGAGGGCAAACGGGTGAATCAGCCCAGGAAAATCTCCCTCAAACCCACTCAACAGGAGAGTGCTCCCAATCACTAAGAGTAGGTCTTCAAAGGAAGAAATCTTGGTGGAGAATTGCCACAGCTAATTTTTTTTTTTAAGATTTTATTCATTTATTCATGAGAGACACAGAGAGAAGCAGAGACATAGGAAGAGGGAAAAGCATGCTTCCTGCAAGAAACCCGATGTTAGACTCAATCCGAGACCCCAGGATCACGCCCTGAGCAGAAGGCAGACACTCAACCACTGAGCCACTCATGCGTCCCCTAAATTTGTTTTCAAAGGGTGATGTTCCTCTAAGCAGGCAGCGTGCCATCAGCTGTTCCTCCATGCAACACTTTCACAGAACAGAGAAGGCAGTACACATGCCTGCCCACCTACCTGCTGCAGTGAACAGGATGCTGCACCTAAGGGGCCACCTCGCATTGCACCATGGGGGAGCGATCCGTCCATCACAACCACCCCACCTTGCCAGCCTTAATCTACACCTGCCCCCCTCAACCCCCAGCAGGTAAGGGGGGTTTCTGCAAGGTTCAGGCTGAAGTAGAGATCAGTGCACCTCCGATATACTTCCAACTTAAAAGAGAAGACACGTGGGGCCATGTGTTTATTTCTGTAACTCTCCTTACTGTTGCTTAAGCTTCCCGGCAAGAGCTTTCTCGTCTGAGTCAAAGGGGTGGGATGTTTTTGCCAAGAACAGAACAACATAAGCACAGACTATCTGCTCTCCAGGTTTTATCCACCATCCTTTGCTTTCTGCCTAACTTAGGGAATAATTCACCTACAAGTAGGTAGGTTGTCAAAAGAACCGAGGGCTTCTCTTACCTGTACAGCCAGGAGCATCTGGTAAAAATAGAGTTTGCACGTAGCTTCTTTCAGCCTCTTATTCCCCACCACCCTGTCAAACAGCTCTCCTCCTTCCATCCTGAAACACACAGGCAAAGTAGGGGTTTTGTTTCTGGAGGGAAACTCACTTGATGAAAGACAATAACAAAAACAAACTCTTTCAGACCAAGCAAAGAACTGCCTTTTTTATTCACTCACGAGGACTCCCATTTTTTAAAGCAATGAGGTAATAAATCTCCTCTCCATAATGAAGACATCCTCATTGGAAACAAAGGAACAGGGAAAGACAAAAGGAATGGGCAGTGGGTACCCCACACACTTGGGAGCTTTTAGGAATCTGACTCAGTAGACTAGAGGTGGAGCCCATGAGTTTGCATTTTCATCACACACCCCAGTAATTCTGTGGCTGGGATAGAGCAGCAAGCAGGAGCCCGAAATCAGACAACAGGGGTTGGAACCCCAGCTCCACCACTTCCCAGCTGTAGGACTTTGGGCAAGTTATGTAACCTCTTGGCCTCTTAAAAAATAGGGATAATCTCCCCACCCCACCCCTCAATGGCTGTTCTGAAAGTTGAGATAACTAATGTAGATAAGGCACCTGCCACAATGTGGATGCTTGGCAGGGTTATTCAATCCCTCTGAACTTCAGTTTCCTGACTAAAAATAGTAACCCATCAGTAACTTGTAAGTAACCTGGATGACTGTTATGAAGAGTAAATGAATCACTCCATGTGAGGTGCTTAGAGCAGAAATTGGCTCATAGTAAGTACTTCATTAATATCAGCGATTGTTATCCTATTGTTATTGCACTGTTTTAAGTTGGTCTAGTCAGACAGCAACAGATACTCCCTTATACACCACAAGGGTAGTCCAGTCTTTCCTAGTGCTATAATTGAGGCTGTTTACTATAAAATCTTACCAGTAAACCCACTTAACCACGGAGTGCCACTCAGGAGCAAAGCCTTTCCTGTCACAACAACAGCCGCTCCCACAAACACTACATATTTATGCAGGAATGAGGATCCAGATAGGCCTCTTCCAGGGATAAGACAATAAATTATTTTGGTCACACCATAGAAAACAGGATTTTGTGGTTACTGAAATAAACCAGCAAGTAAATCAGCACTGAAAAGATAATCGGGTATCACCATGCCACCTAAGCAGAAAGATCCACTCAGGCAGGTATTTCAGAAGAATTAAAACCCACCCATATTTGAGCAACTATGTGTGCCAGGTGCTCTGCTGGGCACTTTCCATCCCTCACAGTATTTAATTCTTATGACTCTGGGCATGGGGGTATCATTATTACCACCCCCTCAACACTAGGAAAATAAGATTCAGAGATATGAAATAAACTAACTCACAGGCAGTCACCTGCAGAGTGAGCTTCAAACTCAGGCCTCAGACCCAGAGCCTGGAACCTCTAAGCCATGTGCCTTTGGAAACACTGGAGGAATTTCAGAATCAACACTAACCCCACATGTACACTTTGTGAGCCCCCCCACCACATACATATATTGAGGGTCCCCAGTATGAGAGAATGCAAGCCAGCATTAGATTTTTTTGGTGGTTTATAAGCTCTTAAATGGAAACAAATAGAAAAGTTTATTACTTACAATTCCAAAACAATATAATAATCTTCGGCATCAAAAAAGTCTTTGATCTTGATGATACAAGGCTAAGAGGAAGAAGAGGAAAAGTAGTGAGAAGCGCTCCCAAGAGGAAAATCACAGGAGCAGTACTTGGGCATTTGGTCCCCTGCCTCAAGAAACTTTGAAGTTCATATAGCAGAAAAGGCAGAACAGCATTTAGCTGGTTCCTCAGTGAGAATGGGCTTACGAAACCCTCCCTTCTACCAAGCTGGCAAGGGACTGGTTCAGGTTTCACACACGAGGATGGCACAAAGGAAGGCAGGCCAGTCTCTTCCCAGCATTCCTCCTCACTGCCCCAGAGCTCGGGTAATTAAGGACACTTAAGGAACCTGGAAGAGCCTAACACTAGTGAAAAGAGAAGCAGGCCAGGTGGGGAGCCCAGCCATGACACCACACAGCAAGGCTGTTCAGCTCCATACAACTAGAACCACAGGAGTATGGGGACTCCATTGTGGTAAGATCCTCCCATTTCTCAATGGAAGAAGGAAATAACAGTTTTATAAGAACTCTGAAAGGCTATGTGGGGGTAAAGAAGACACAAAGACACACAAACACACCCCTATAGCTGATAGTTTGTGGTCTCTGATCAATGCAGCATGGATACAGTAAAGAAAAAAAGGGGGATCCCTGGGTGGCTCAACAGTTTAGCGCCTGCCTTCAGGCGTGATCCTGGAGACCCAAGATTGAGTCCACGTCGGGCTCCCTGCATGGAGCCTGCTTCTCCCTCTGCTTGTGTCTCTGCCTCTCGCTCTGTGTCTCTCATGAGTAAATAAATAAAATCTTAGAAAGAAAGAAAGAAAGAAAGAAAGAAAGAAAGAAAGAAAGAAAGAAAGAAAGAAAGAAAGAAAGAAAGAAAGAAAGAAAGAAAGAAAGAAAGAAAGAAAGAAAGAAAGAAAGAAAGAAAGCACACCTATTGTTTTGCAGTACAAAGGATAGATAGTAGAGCTCAGTGGTCTGGGTAAGTAAGAGATGTGGTAAATATCTGTCAGGGTCATGCCCCACCCGGAGGACTACAGCTTTAATCAGAATTAAAGACAGTTACACAATTTCTAGATTTCAGATTAAAGAATAGCAAAATTCACCAGAGTGCTCACTCTGCAAAGCAAATTTCATCACACCTTTTGCTCTGATTAAAATTCTCCCCAAGTGGTAGCTTCCCATGATAAACTATTATACAGCAGTGAATGGATCCCCCATTGCTTCCCCCACCCAGCACACTGGATCCTGAAAACATGATGCCAAGGGGAAAAAGCAAATCATGAAGAACTTCAAAGTGTATGAAGTAACTTCAATTGTATGGTCAAGTTTTCTTTCTTAAGTTGAATGGGGAGTTCAAAAGTGTTGGTTTGGTTCATAATTTATATTTATTGCTTTTCATGTATCAAATACTATATATATATATATAGTACTGTCTCTTGCTCACACACACACACACACACGTATATAAATTTTTTTTTTTAATTCTTAAGGTTTTTTAGTAATCTCTACACCCAACCTGGGGCTCAAACTCACAACTCTGAGATCAAGAGCTGTATATTCTACAGACTGAGCCAGCCAGCCAGAGCCCTAATTTTAAAATATTTAAATGAAGGAGAGGGGGAGACCAATCAGGAGGAAGGGAAGGAAGGAAAGAGAAGAAAGGCGGAAAGTAAGACAAGAAGGAAAAAACCTTTGGAAATCCAACATTTCAGCAGAGATCAGCAAACCCTGGAGACCCAGCCTACCCACCACGGTAGCCCCATCTCCTGCATCCCTCTCTCTAGACCACAAAACACCCCACCTGCCCTAGACTCCCAGGGTTCTTTCCCAATGTCCCATGTGGCTCGCCATGCTCCTGCCGGGTGATCCCGCCCTCTGGGCACACCTGGCCTCCAGCATCAGGCCCCAGTTCAAATGTCACCCTCAGAATGCATCCAGTGCCCTGCATTAGTTCTTATCTGTGTTGCCTCATGCTGCATCTTTAATTTCTGTCTCCCCACTGTAAGCTCTAGGAGGGGAAAAAAAAAAAGGAAAGTAACACCCACTATGGGTCTCCTCCCATCAGGCACTTCATCAGCTGAGTCAAGTCTTATTCATCTTTCGAGGACCAACACTCAGCAGACCAACTGCACACAAGAGACATTCATATGCTGCCCAGATTAATACAAACAACAGCAATAATAGAAGCCCCACCCACTTAGGTAGACTCCGCCAGCCACATTTTGGTCATGGCACACACAGCCATAGGAGTAAGGCTGAGAGCATCCCAGCTCCACCACTCCTTACCTATGACCATAGGATATACTTGCTCTGCTGACCATTTGTTCTTGTCCCAATAATGAAGACACTGGATATGTACTGTAGTATTATATTGAGAGGAACAGAAAGGAGAGGAGAACTAGAAGTCTCATATAACAGGAAGGCAACAGGCTATCTAAAATTGATAAATCAACAGGCAGCAGTTTATGCATATTATATAGAAATATGGGGATAAGTTGGATTTAAAAAGTTTTTAAATGTTTGTTGGGGAGGTTTGGGGGGCTACAGAGCTACAGTCTGTGTATAAACTTTGAGCAAGATTTGACTCTCTAGAGATTATATGCATATGATTACCCTGACAAAAATAAAGAAGAAGCAGAAGAAAAGCCACACATGGAAAAGGAACAGGAGATCAGAGGAATGAATGAGAGCTGCTTGGTTCTGCTGGCTTCATCCGGCAGGGCCAGGGCCCACCTGGGAACAGCTGGGTAGGGGAGCTAGTGGAGCACAAGAAGGTCCTGGCAGTCCGAACCTGCAGACACCGCCTCCTCTAGGTGCCACCACCTCTAGTATCATTCACTGGTGGCAGGTCATGGCTGAAGATGTCTCTCGTGAACCAGAGGCTACTACCCTAAACCCTCCACTTAGATCATACAGGGAACAGTTTAGAGAATGACAGATCGCTGTCGTTGCTCAAGTGTGTTCTCCACGCAGAAAGCTTGGCAAGCACATCCCATCAAATTCCTACACTGACTTTTAAGGTATGTACCCTCATTGTCTCCACTGCACAGATGAGCAAACAGAGGCTCTGAAAAGTAAAGTGACCTTCTCAGACCCAGGAGATAAGAGAAATGGGATTGGGAACCCAGGTCTGTCTCTCCACTAGGCTGAAACCATAGAAGGAGGAGAGCCAAGCCCATCTGTGCTCATCACCACCCAGGCTTTAGAAAACAGGCTGGCACAGTAAGTGTCTAACAACTGATTGAATCACTGCCTGGCTCCAATTGCCAGGCTCTGTTGGGCTATCAGGCTCTACTCATTATCCCCTAAATGCACTCATGAGCCCATATATAATTTCCAAGACCTTTCCACATGCCCTTGTAAACCGCCAGGAAATTATCTCCAGGGATCTTTTTTGAGGGTTCTAAATTCCTCTTGACTGCAGTGGACATTGGATTTGTATAAATGTTATGTTTGGGGATCCTATGACATAAGAAGAAAATTCCCTGAGAATTCGAAGTGTTTATCTTAAGCATATGTTTGAACCAACCCCACCCCAGAAAATGAGAGGGCTCCTCTCTTTAACAAGACAGTCCAGATCACTTGTGGGGGGCGGGGAGGCTAATTCAGGGAAGAGGAGGAAGTTACAAGGGAATTAGAAGAAAGCCAAGTCAAGACGCTGGCTACTCAGATTCTTCTGGGTTCAGATGCACTCACTGGGTTCTCAAAGACCCTCTTGAACTATTGTGTTGACGGCAGTGATTCTGTTCTTAATTTCTATTTATTGTTTCGGGGATTTGAGGAGGTGAGAGAAGGGAAAATAAATCTTTTTTTTTGTTTGAAGGTTAAGAACCAGAATAAGATTGGGGCGCCTGGGTGGCTTAGTTGGTTAAGTGTCCAACTCTTGATTTTTGCTCAGGTCATGATCTCAGGGTTGTGGGATCAAGCCCAGCATCAGGCTTCTTGCTGGGAATGGAGCCTGCTTAAGACTCTCACCCTCTCCCCTCTGCCCTCACTACCTCCCCCCCCCCCCAAAGAACCAGAGTAAGATCATCTTTAGCTAGAGACTAAAGGTCTTATTGCAAGTTTTAATTCCAGTGCCAAACTAGCTCATGACTTCATGGGGGCTCATGAATTAATGAAGAAACAGAAAGAACAATAAAAAGGAAGATGGGATAAGATCACAACTCCTCTTTTTTTTTTTTTTTAAGTCACTTATGGGAGACACAGAGAGAGAAGCAGAGATATAGGCAGAGGAAGACATGGGAGCCCAATGTGGGACTCCATCTCAGGACCCCGGGATCACACCCTAAGCTGAAGACAGACACTCAACCATTGAGCCACCCAGGTGCTCTTCTCTTCTCATTTCTAAAAAGACAGATTCACTTTCCAGTGAGACAAGGTCATCATTACACAAAAGATAGTAACTATACCCATTGAGATCAGTGGGCTCACCACCATCAAAAGGTATTCAGAGGTACTGAAACTTGAGATATAATTAAACCAAATTACCAATGTCTTCCCAAACATAATCAGTTGATCAAACCCCTATCAGATAAAATATTTAGAAAACTATGTGTTTTGGTGAAAAACTCACTCAGTGGAAATATCAGTTAATCTGAAATCTTTATAAAATTTCAGGGTAAAGCTTCTCCCAGTTAAATTACAACTAAACACACACACCCATGCATGTGTACCCACACATGTACACACGCACACACACAGGCATAGGCACATACACACAATTAAGGAATCCAAGTTAATACTAGCTTTATTAAATTAAGATACTTTGTATTCTTCCCATATTTTCAGAGAAATGAAAGTAAGAATGAGTCATATTTTACAGCAATACTTACATGATTTAGCTTTTTCAAAATTTCTATTTCTGTTTCAACATCGAGAGCTGGATCCTTGGATAAAGGGAATAACATTAAATTTTGTTAATAATAATGATAGTCAATATTTAGAAAACAGTTACAACTTAGTTGAGTAAAAGCTGCATGAGTTCCACACCCAGTACTACTCATACAAACAACTCAAGGCTTAGAGGTGGAAGAAATCACTCACCTAAAATCACCCTGTGAAGTGCCTGGCAAATAGTAAGCATTCATTAAACGGATAGGTGCTATGCCAACCTCTTTTAAATAGTCATCTTACAGAAATCTCATAATCCCAAAATGAACTTGGGTTCTATATTTATCCCCATTTCACAGATGGAGTAACTGAGGCTCAGAGAAAGGAAGCCACCTGCTCCAGTTCTCACAACCAGAAACAAGTGTGCTTCTATTGTTCTCACACTTACCTGGTAAGCTCGCTCTTTCTTTCTCTCTCTCTCTCTGAGTTTTTATTGGAATTCCAGTTAATTAATATACAATGTAATATTAGTTGTAAGCTCTGTCTCTCTGGCTGTGGAATTCTTTATACTCATAAAAATGATACAGCAAACAAAGACAAGAGTTATTCAATTAACTTGTAAAAGGAAAACATCAAGCCAATTTTTTTTTTGTTTTGTTTTAAGATTTTATTTATTTACTCATGAGAGACATAGAGAGAGGAGCAGAGACATAGGCAGAGGGAGAAGCAGACTCCCTGTGGGAGGCCGATGTGGGACTCAATCCCAGGATCATGACCTGAGCCGAAGGCAGATGCTCAACTACTGAGCTACCCAGGTGCCCCCAACCCAAATTTCTAATAATGGAGAAGACACAGGTTCCAAGTTACTACAGGCTAACATATTTCCTGAGACACCAACAAGAGTAAGCATCAGGGGACTATAGTTGCTCTCTGCTGCAATTCCAAAAGGATGAATCAAGTTACTCAGCCTCATGGGCTACACCCTCCAAAATGAGGAGGATATAGAATTACATATTTATGTAAAATGGACTTCAGCTAAGAAATCCAGATGTTTAATTTTAAAAGCCTGCCTCTTCCTGTAAGCTGCTAAACTCATTACCAAGTCAGGGCGTACTCTGATGATAGAGCAGTCTAAAAGAGTCCAATCTGATTTGAAAGATGAAATTAAGAAGTAAAATTTTACTCCAAGTCATTAAGAACCTGATAGGTATTTTCTTCCCCTCAAAACGGGAAACAAATCTGGAATCACAAGGGAAAAGGATCTACAACAAAGTGACCACATAAAGGAAATTGCTCTTGCCATGTGAGAATGGCATTGTCTTTGGGGTGTGGGTGTGGGAGTATCGATCTTTAAAGAATGTTAAAGTATAATGGCCAGAAACAGATGGCCACAAAGGAAAAAATGATTAGAGACCTCACTTTACATTACTTTGTTGGATCATGTGTTAAAACACCAGTATATTTGACCATTTCACCAATGCAGTAAATACATATTAGAGAAAATGTAATAAAATGAATGGCTACTATACAGAGACTATTAAATAATTTAATTCAGATTTTTAAAAATCTGTAGATGCTAAGATAGTCACTGTTTTGTTATCAGGAAGGGCAAAGAATTAGAAATGTAAATGATCAGAGCAATGGGTGAATAATTATAATAAAGTTCATGAAATAGAGGCTCAATCACCAAAAAGCATCTATTAGGGGAAAGTTTATGCATTAATGCTCATAAGGAAAAGCAGAATACAAAACTGTATATACAATATGATTTCAACCATCTAAAAATGCAAATCTGTATGAACAAGCCCTAGAAGGAAACAGAAAACTGGAAACAGCTGTGGAATTGCAGTGGTAGGGATATGGCTGAGTTGCTTTTCCCCCCAATTCCCTTTTATGTATTGTAAAAATTTGTAACACTGGGGTGGAGGGGGTGGGGAGGACATGGAATGGAACTTGGGACACAGGACACTTTGCTAGGTATGTTATTATGTATAACAAAATATTTTTGGAGGGATCCCTGGGTGGCTCAGCGGTTTAGCGCCTGCCTTTGGCCCAGGGCGCGATCCTGGAATCCTCGGATCAAGTCCCACGTCGGGCTCCCTGCATGGAGCCTGCTTCTCCTTCTGCCTGTGTCTCCTGCCTCTCTCTCTCTCTCTCTCTCTCTCTATCATGAATGAATGAATGAATAAATGAATAAATAAATAAATAAATAAATAAATCTAGTTCATTAAAATATATATATATTTTTGGAACCAAACTATCGATCAGTAAATTTCTAGGTTAGCTGAATATGTTTTTAAAAAAAATGGGGTGAGGGGCAGATAATCTTTTTTTTTTTTTTTTAAGATTTTATTTATTTATTCATGAGAGATAGAGAGAGGCAGAGACATAGGCAGAGGCAGAAGCAGACTCGGGAAGCCCAATGTGGGACTCGATCCCAGGACCCCGGGATTATGGCCTGAGCCAAAGGCACATGCTCAACCACTGAGCCACCCAGGTGCCCAAGTGAGAGATAATCTTCAGCAGACTCCACACCCAGCATGGAGCCCAATACAGAGCTCAATTTCATGACCCTGAGATCATGACCTGAGCCAAAATCGAGTTTGGATACTTAACCAAATGAGCCACCTAAGGCCCCAATACTCAAAAATTTTCAATGTTGTTTAATACAAATTCACAAATGGGGCACCTGGGTGGCTCAGTGGTTGAGGGTCTGCCTTCAGCTCAGGATGGGATCCCGGGGTCCTGGGATTGAGTCCTGCATCAGGCTTTCCTCTCTGGGAGCCTGCTTCTCTCTCTGCCTATGTCTCTGCCTCTCTCTGTGTGTCCCTCATGAACAAGTAAGTAAAATCTTAAAAAAAAAAACAAAAGCAAAAAAAAAAAAAAAAAAAAACAACACTCTAAAACTATTTGGGGACATTAAAAAGTGTTAAAAACACTGAGCATCCACCAATAGAGGTACTTACTGCCTCTCTCTCAGAGCCAATAGCGAACTTCCTCTTGCTGATGATTTTTATGGCTACTTTCTTACATGTTTTCCTCTCAAAAGCTAGCTTCACCTCACCACAGGCACCACTACAGAGAGAAACATAAGATGATCAATTATCAGAATGATTTTAATCATGAGATCCATCACTCCTGAGCTGGCCTCAACTATAACAAGTTAAACACCATCCACCCACAACCCTTCCATTATCCCTGTTTCCAGGGGACAACACAGTGAAACCTCACCAATGTAAAATGTCAAGGGCATAAGTGAATGTGGATCATCCGACAGCACTGAGTCAGCTTCAAATTCCACCTTTTGAGCTAAGAAATACAGACTTAAGTCTTATTGGCACCCCAGAGTGTGAAATTCTCAGACACCAAGAACAAATAAGAGGGAAATTGCTCATCCTAGAGTCAGACAAACATGATGTAGAACAAAGTCCTAGACAAAAATGAGTGCCTGACACAAGTTACAGTAAATAGCATCTGCAAATGAATTACTTTCATTGATATATTCTTTCTTATTTAAGCGAACTACACAAGTAGTTGATGCCATGAATTTCACCATAAATAAAATCACAATTTTATACACACACAAGTATTATACAACCTACTTGAAGCAAACTCTTAAAGATTTGTAATTAATTGGGATACTATAATGGAGAAGGAATAATAACCAGGATACCACTCAAAATACAGGTAACCTAATGGGCTCTGTTCTCCAAAGCTTGGGTCAAGTGAAGGTAATTGCTATCCAAGTATCCATCACTTATTACATGCCCAAAGTAGACTATAATTATTGTGACTTTGGAGTGGGATGAGTTTGCCAAGACATTTTTTAAATTGTGAATTGTGTGTGTATATATATATATATATATATGTATATATATATATATATATAATTTACCATATTAATCATTTTATTTTTTTTAAGATTTCATTTATGTATTTGAGAGAAAAAGAGCGTGCAAGACAGCATGAGCAGGGTGAGCAGGGGAAGGGCAGAGGGTGAGGGAAGCAGACTCCCCGTTGAACAGGGAGCCCAGTATGGGACTCAATCCCAGGACCTTGGGATCATAACCTAAGCCAAAGGCAGATGCTTAACAGACTGAGCCACCCAGGCACCCCATTGTAATCATTTTAAAATGTACAATTCAGGGATGCCTGGGTGGCTCAGCGATTGAGCATCTGCCTCCGGCTCAGGGTGTGATCCTGGGGTCCAGGGATAGAGTCCTGCATCGGGCTCCCTGTAGGGAGCCTGCTTCTCCCTCTGCCTATGTCTCTGCCCCTCTCTCTGTGTCTTTCATGAATAAATAAAATTTTTTTAAAAAAATTCCATTCAGTGGCATTAAGTACATCCACACTGTTTTGCAACCACCAACCCTATCTAACTACAGAATTTTTCCATCAGCCAAAATGGAAACTCCATCCCCATTCTATGCTACCCCCAGCCCCTGACAACCACTTAACTGCTTTGTCTCAATGGATATGTCTATTCTGAATATCTCATATCAGTGAAATCACACAACATGTGGATCTTATGTCTGGCTTCTTTGACTTAGCATGTTCTCAAGGTTCAGCCATGCTACAGTATGGATCAGTATTTCATTCCTTTTTTTTTTTTTAAAGATTTTATTTATTCATGAGAGACACAGATAGAGAGGCAGAGACACAGACAGAGGAGAGGCAGGCTCCATGCAGGGAGCCTGATGTGGGACTTGAACCTGGGACTCCAGGATCACGTGCTGGGCCAACGGCAGATGCCAAACCGCTGAGCCACCCAGGGATCCCCTATTTCATTCCTTTTTTTAAAAATATTTTATTTATTTATTCATAAGAGACAGAGACAAAGGGGCAGAGGGAGAAGCAGGCTCCCTGTGGAACAGGAGCCCAATGCAGGACTCGATCCCAGGACCCTGAGATGACCTGAGCTGAAGGCAGACACTAAGCCACTTAGTGGTTACCCAGGTGCCCTATTTCATTCCTTTTTATAGCTAAATAATATTCCATTGTACTGATATATCAGTTTGTTCATCTATTCATTTGTTGATGGAGATTTGGGGTGTTTCTACCTTTGGGCTATTGTGAATAGAGCTGTAATGAACATTCACGCCTAAGTTTTTTGTCTGAACACTTGTCTTCAACTGGGAGAGAGGGAGTCATATATCTACAAGAGGAATTGCTGGGTCATAGGTTATTCAATGCTTAACTTTTTTAGAAACCAAGAAACTATTTCCCACAATGGCTATACCATTTTACATTCCCATCAGTAGTATACAGAGGTTCCAATTTATCTGCATCCTCACAAACACTTGTCACTGTCCGTTTCCTTACTATGGCCATCCTAGTGGCTGCAAAGTAGTATTTCATTGTGGTTTTGATTTGCATTTCCCTAATGACTAATGATGCACAGCATCTTCTCATGTGGTTGTTGGTCATTTATATATCTTCTTTGGAGAAGTCTATTTAAATCCTTCGCCCATTTGTATATTGGGTAGTTTTTCCTTCTGTTGTTTATTCTGAATACTAGATCCTTATCAGATAATTTGTAAATATTTTCTCTGTGTGGGTTGTGTTTCACTCCTTTGATAGTATCTTGATGCACTAAGGTTTCTAAATTTAATGAAATCTAATTTATGCATTGTTTTCCTTTGTAGCTTGTGCTTCTGGTGCCGTATTTAAGAAACCACCACCAAATCTAAGGTCATGAAGTTATCCCTGTTTCCTTCTTACAGTTTTATAGTTTTATCTCTTCTGTTTAATTTTATTTGAGAGAGAGAGCACAAGAGTAGGGAGGGTCAGAGGGAGAAGCAGACTCCCTGCTGAGTGGGGAGCCTACTGTGGGGTTGATCCTGGGACTCTGGGACCATGACCTGAGCCAAAGGTAGACACTTAACCAACTGAGCCACCAAGCCACCCAGGTGTCTAGGTTTTTTTTTTCTTTTGAGTTAATTTTTTTATCTAGTGTGAGATAACGGTCCACATAACTATTATTTTTTAAACTCTGCTCAAAACACTTTCCAATTCCCCTTCTGATAAAGCCACCTTCTGCCTGAGAAATCTTCCCTGAGTCAATGTAGCTCTAGTAGAGTATATCTATAATAGTACCATGTGGCAGACATGTAACCAAAATTGAGCCAGTCAAGATTTCCCCTGGAATTAGATGCTGATGTTGGGAGAGAAACGATTCTTCCTGTGGTGGTTTCTAGAAGGAAGAAAACATGAATGTGGGGCCCCTTGAAGCCATTCTCCTGCCACAAAGAGAAAGCAAATCTATAGGCAACCAATAGTAGCTAAATCAATAGATGAGCCAGAGCCCTAGTAACACTTATAAGAGTCCTAAAAAGAGGCAAAGCCACACAGATAATCAGAATTCAAAGAGTGAAATAAAGGCTACCAGGCATAGCAGATTTCAAGTATGAACTCAGTAAATTTCTTTTATCTCACGTGAGTTAAGTTTCTGTCACCTGCTAAAAATTAAGAGGATTTGTGTTGAATCCTCCCCTAGGAAAAATAAGAGTCCCATACATTTCTTAAGGACAGGCACAGGGACTTGTGGGTAGCTCAGTGGTTGAGCATCTGCCTTTTAGGGCCTAATCCTGGAATCCAGAGATCGAGTCCCACATTGGGCTCCCCGCATAGAGCCTGCTTCTCCCTCTGCCTATGTCTCTGCCTCCCTCTGTGTCTCTCATGAATAAATAAATAAAATCTTTAAAAAGGGGGTGGGGGAGCAGGCACAAATTTCACTGTAAACTTCCAAGCACCTATGCAAATATGAAAATAGTGAGTAACTGAATTTAATAGCCATAAACTAAAATATCTCCCATAGATGGTCATAAAGAGTACACTGTATTTGATTCTATGTGGCAGGAATATAGGTGATTATTTCCTTCTATTAGTTCCTACTTTCATATTTCCAAATATGTTAAAAGAAAGGCCTTTGGGGAGGGAGAGTGAAGGACATGATGCAACGTGGTAAAGGTGTCCCTAAGGAAGTGTTTCTCAGGGTATCTGCCTGGCTAAGTTGGGAGGGCATGAGAATCTTGGGATCATGAGTTCAAGCCCCATAGTAAAACTTAAAAACCTAACTAAGTGGTTCTCGAAGTAGTTTTAGGCAACCTCAAGGGACCCCAAGATGCTTGCAGGGTGTCCACAAAGCCTAAACTATTTGCAGAAAAATACTAAGACATTATTTGCCTTTTTCATTCTCATTCTCTCATGAGCATACAGTTTTCTAGAGGCTATACGGCAGGTGACATAACTGACCAAACAAGCAAATATCTATCACAATCTAGCCATTTTCTAATCCAGGTATCAAAGACATTTGCAAATCTGTGAAATAATGCCTCTTTTTTAAATATTTTATTTATTTATTCATGAGAGACACAGAGAGAGAGGCAGAGACACAGGCAGAGGGAGAAGCAGGCTCCATGCAGGGAGCCTGACGTGGGACTCAATCCTGGGACTCCAGGACCACGGCCTGGGCTGAAGGCAGGTGCTAAACCACTGAGCAACCCAGGGATCCCCAAATAATGTCTCTCTAATCACTAATCTTTATTTAAAGAATTATTTTGTACTAAAAATATTATTTTATTTTATTTTAGATTTATTTATTTGAGAGAGAATGAGTGGGAGGGGCAGAAGAAGAGGGAGAGAATCTCAAGCTGACTCCCCACTAGGAAGCATAACTCAGGTATCAATTCCTGGACAGAAATCAAGAGTTGGATGGTTTAACCAACTAAGCCACACAGGCACCCCCCAAATATTATTTATCTTGACATAAGTGAAATTTTAATGCATTAATAAATATTAATAATGTCTCTCCACTTGAATTTCTAATACAATTAATATCAATAGATTTAAGCCATTTGAACAAAAGCTCTTTGGCGTCCTCGGTAATTTTTAAGAGTCTAAAGGTTCCTGAAACCAAAGATTTTTGAGAACTTTGCCTGACTCCATGGTTAATTCCATTTCACTTCCCAAGATGTTCCTAGGATTTTGGGAAGGCAATAAAAATGTTCTAAAACTGATAGTGGTAAACGTTCCACAACTCTGTGAATATATTAAAAATCGTTAAATTATATACTTTGTATCAGTCAATTGTATGGTATGTGACTAACAACTTTTTAAAATTAATTTTTTTAAAGATTTTATTTATTCATGATAGACCTAGTGTAAGAGAGAGAGGCAGAGACACAGGCAGAGGGAGAAGTAGGCTCCATACCAGGAGCCCGACACAGGACTCTACCCTGGGACTCCAGGATCATGCCCTGGGCCAAAGGCAGGCGCTGAACCACTGAGCCACCCAGGGATCCCCTTAAAATTAATTTTAAAAAAAATTAATTTTTAAGTGATCTCTATACCCAACGTGGGACTTAAACTCACAACCCTGGTATCAAGAGTCACAAGCTCTACCAATGGAGCTAGTCAGATGCCCCGTGAATAACTTTTTAAAAGCAGCTTTATTGAGCTACCAAAGTTAAAATTTATTTAAAAAAAAGTATTCATTTGAATTGATCATTATCAAATAAATCAATAACATACCTATCACAAGTGCCCCACAAATATGAAGTTAATGAATGTTACAAAACTAGGAAGAAGAAACTAATCAATGACAAATGTTTAGGGGAAAAAATGAAGGGCAATTTCCATAATAACAAAAAAAATTTACCTTCCGAGAGTTTTTGACATGATGTATTCGTCTCTTAATTCCTTAGGATAAACTGACTGATCATCTACAGTCAGATCAAAAAATACAAAAACTAAGGGAAAAGGGCAGAAAGTCTCATTAATTCATTTGGTAAAGAGAAAATAAAATAGTCCTAAGATATAGTGAACATATGGAATATAAGACAATTGTTTTTAATTACATTTAACACCTAAGTCTAAAATGAATTTAGCCAGGCTAATACATGTTATGAAACCCATGGAAAATAACAGTCAAATCTCATTCCTCAACAGAAATACACATCATCATTTCACTATAGAGCAGGAAATCCATATATATATATATATATATATATATATATATATATATATGGTAGTCTTATTCCTTGACTTCAGAATATTAATCAATTGCAACTGATATAAAAGGCCCATGCAAGATTAGTTCCTGCCTCAATGCGGGGCAAGGGGGGGGCAACCATGCAGATTAGCATAAGCCCAGCACCAAAAAACAATTAGTTTTAGCCTTAAAAAAAAATGTTCTAGGCAAATACACATCCCAATAAAATTAGACCACAGGTCATCATCATACTAGTATCATTTTCTCTTTGCCATTTATTTTTTTTTTTATTTTTTTTTCTCTTTGCCATTTATACACCTCTACACGTCTGGCATTTTATAGTGCAAACCATGTTGAACCTACTTGTAAAGTTAAATAAATAGCATTTTCCCAAAAGTCACCTATTTCTCCATTATTTGGGCTGTATCCAAGAAAAAGAAAGAATACCCCACTCATTAAAAAATTTAACAATCCATGTGGGCCAAGGCTGCAATTATCAACATTTCAATTCCTCAAAATCGATGGTAAATATAATATCTTAAAAGAGTGAAATTTGTTAAGACCCTTGAGTTTCTCATATTTCAGGCAGCAACAGGTTTCGACTTCCCTGGGGTAACCTTGAGTTCCACTCAAAGGCACAAATCTGAGCCACCTGAGTGTGCTTCATTCCACGCTGGTCCGCATGAGACACCTGTGTAGTGAAGGAAACCTGCCAATGAACCAAGATACAACTGTTTCTCTATGCTTGTGGGTATTTATGACTCTAGATATTCCAGTGGCATCTAAGAATCTGGGAACTTGAGGGGCTCTGGAGAGCTATTTCTCACAGATGTCAAGGTCTACTTCAAGAGCTGCAAATTCAGTTGCCCACAGAAGCCAGGCCACGTACACAAGGAAGGCTGGGTTGAGTGTAAGACAACGTGGAGCAGTGAGGACTTGAATGGGCAAACACACACCATGCAACTAAAACAAAGGCAGGCTCTACTGAGCACTGGCCAATCCTCCAGTTATGGGATTATAGGATCAGTGTGGCTAGACAGTCTACCTTTTCAAAGCAATCTGGATTTTTTACATTCAAGTACAAACAGCAAATGCCTAATAAAATGTCAATAAACTGAATGCAATCTGCAGAGCACCAGCCTGATCTATTTCGATTATGGCCACCTTTAGCCCATATAACACCTCTGTTCCAAGCAGAAAAGGTGCCCCTTGGACAGACCAACTAGGAAAAGGTGGCACACAGCTTACCAAGTAAGACAGGCCAAATTTCAACACTTGGTTGTCATCTCCACCAGGTGCTCTCAAACAGCAAAACTTTATGCAGCTGCCCTGACTATAAGTATCACACACAGAAAACACGAGTCAGAAACAGGGGAAAATATCATAAAATGTGCTTTGGGATGCCTAGTATAGCCATCATTCCCAGATGCCAGTTTGAAGACTGCCTACATGAGAATCACCTAAGCAAGAATTTTTAAATCCCTGGGACTACTAGACCAGGATCTGTGGGACAACACCTGTGAGCATCTATATTTTTAAGGTGTTACCCACACACTCATACATTCTTCCCATTCAACTCTCATGTAGTTTTGCAAAGTTCTGCGGTTGTTGTTCTTTTTTAATCAAAGAAATGAGTGTTCCTACTGTCCAAGGATTTAAAATCACTGTGAGATTACGTTTCGCTCTACAGGTTTTTATTCTTTCTGTGCTGAATGACAACTGTTCATTTTAGATGTGATACTAGTAAAATGTTAGGAGTGGCTGTTCATAAAATGCTGCCTGATGATGACAAGAAACATCAATCAGAGAATAACCACGTGGCATTTAAGGCAGAAACTTTAAGCTGAGATTCTTCCAGAAATACCCTAATGCCTGGCAGATAAACGAAGTTCAATAGATATTTGCAGCAATTAAGGAAAAGAAGGAAGGAGGGAGGGAGGAAGGGATTGAGGGAGGGAGAAAAATTCATGGCCTAAAACAACTCATTGACACCTAAGACTGATGCGGTGTAAACTGCATCAATGAATGAAGAACCATCTTAAGCAGTACCATTCAATTGACAGCATACAGCCTTAAACAAAACTAACCCAATCATTTAAACCTTGGAAAATCTGCCTTCATAGAAATTTTTCATTAATTTAAAAATATACCTAAGTCTGCACTGAATCCTGAATACAAACTTTCTTACTTTATCCAAACCATACTCTGCCAAGGGCACAATGTCAATTTCCCTTTATAGGAGAGGAAAAAAAGATCCAGTAACCAAAAGATAATAATGTTACCTTTATTACTCCATACTGAAAGTGCAATTTCAGAATTGTTATTCAAAGGAAGGCGTCTTCCTTTCCCTACCAGCTCTCTATTTACAAAGGTTCCATTCCCACTGTGATCTTCTATGTATGCGATGTAAGAGTTTTTAGGACCCATTTCCTAAAATAGAGAACATTTTATTTCAAAGTTTTAACAGTGGGGAGTTACAGGAGTTACATATCCTTGCTAACATATCTCAGAGTGGTGATGACATTACCAGTTCTCCCAAATATACGGATTATTTGTCACCTACTCTGAAAATCCGAAAGTGCTTCTTGCTGTAAGTCCGGTATTTATCTGTTCTTTTCAGCAATGGCTCATCAAAGCAGTATTCACAGCTTCTATCTCTCCCAAACCAGTAGTTGTCATTAACACACTCTGAAACACAAAAGTACACACCGGAGTGCTGTTGAATTTCATACATCAAACACCTTTAAAAACTGCTCATAAAATCTAATTGTAGAAAAATAACCTAAGAAAGCAATTAAGCTTACAGATAACTTTTTTTTTTTGCTTACAGATATCTTTATCAGAGTTCAGAGTTTTACACGAATAAAAACAAGGGGACAATTTTCCAGTGAGTTTAATAAATTATGGTTTATATATAAGTATGAAATAATAAGCAGTCATTAAAAATTCTCAGTTATTAATGATTTGAAAAAACACTTATAATCTAATAACTTCCTACCAATTATCCTCTTGATTCTTCCCATCGTACTTAGTATAAAATGTGCCCTCCTCCCCATAGCAGGATAGATGCTCAGGATAGAATCTCACACTGCTTCCCTACTAGCATCACCTTGTACTACTCCCCTTGATTACCCAGTCCCACAGGCACCTTCCATTGCCCCAAAAATGCTGGGGGCACAGTGTTAATGTCACAATACCCCTGGTGGCCTTTGCAGTCTCTGTTCCCAGCTACTTCAATAGCCATCTTACCTTTGCCTGGACTCAAATTATCACCTTTCACTCAGCTTTCTGTATAAGCAGACTCCTACGTTATCACCCATTATCATAATGACATCCTGCTTTGTGTCCTACTAAATATGGACCATGACCAGAAGTTATCTTGATTATTTATGTATTGTCTCCCCACACTCCCTTGTTAGAATAAACTCCAGGAGCAGGCTTGGTCTCACGTGTTACATAGTTCCAGCACCTAGGTCATGAATATAGTAGGCAAGTAAATGGTGATAGAAAGACCAGACAAAATATTAGCAACTCATATCACAAAGTTGTAATTTCTGTAATATCTGTCAAGTTATTACAAATTTTAAAAAGACAAACAATCCAGTAAAAACTGGGTAAAGGATACGAAGAGGCAATTTACAAGACAAAGAAATACAAATAGCTGGGCAGCCCCAGTGGCCCAGCGGTTTAGTGCCACCTTCACTCTGGGGCGTGATCCTGGAGTCCCGGAATCGAGTCCCACATCAGGCTCCCTGCATGAAGCCTGCTTCTCCCTCTGCCTGTGTCTCTGCCCCGCTCTCTCTCTGTGTCTGTCATGAATAAATAAATAAAATCTTTAAAAAAAAGAAAGAAAGAAATGCAAATAGCTCAAACATAAGAAAAAATAACCTATCTTGGTTATTCAATACAAGAAATTTTAAAGGCAAGGGCTGCCTGGCTGGCTCAATTAGTAGAGCATATATAACTCTTGATCTCAGGGTTGTGAGTTCAATCCCCATGTTGGGTGTTAAGATTACCTAAAAATAAATCCTTTAAAAAAATGAAATCAGGGGATCCCTGGGTGGCTCCCTGGATGGTTTGGCGCCTGCCTTTGGCCCAGGGGCATGATCCTGGAGACCCAGGATTGAGTCCCACATCAGGCTCCCTGCATGGAGCCTGCTTCTCCCTCTGCCTGTGTCTCTGCCTCTGTCTCTGTGTGTCTCTCATGAGTAAATAAATAAAATATTTAAAAAATAAAATAATAAAAAATAAAATAAAATAAATGCATGAACATGTACGCATTTAACAAAAAAAAAAAAAAAAAAGAGGGCACCCTGGGTGGCTCAGCGGTTTAGCGCCACCTTCGGCCCAGGGCCTGATCCTGGAGACCTGGGATCGAGTCCCATGTCAGGCTCCTGCATGGAGCTTGCTTCTCCCTCTGCCTGTGTCTCTGTCTCTCCCTCTCTCTCTGTGTGTCTCTCATGAATAAATAAGTAAAATCTTTTAAAAATAAATAAATAAATCTTTAAAAAAATAAGCAAAGAGTTACATATTATAACATTGTATTGGCAAAAGGTGTGAAGAAGCTGTTACCCTTATACATTGCCAGTAAGAATGTAATTTATACACCAAATATAATTTGGAATCTAGTAAAGATAATTTGGCAAGATCTATCAAAATTACATATGCAACCACTTCACACTGATGTAAATGGCTTTAATTTTTTTTAAAAAAGGAAAATAATAAAAATAAATAAAAATAAATAAAAATAAAAAAATAAAAAATAAATAAAAAATAAAAAATAAAAAAAGGAAAATAATAAGTGTTGGCAAGGATACAAGGAAATCAGTACCCTAACATACTGCTGGTGGGAATGTAAAATGGTAGAGCTACTGTGGAAAAGTTTGTCATTCCTCAAAAAGTTTTTTTTTTTTTAAGATTTTATTTATTTATTCATAGAGACACAAAGAGAGAATGAGAGGCAGAAACACAGGCAGAGGGAGAAGCAGGCTCCACGCAGAGAGCCCAACGCAGGACTGATCCAGGGTCTCCAGGATCACGCCCCAGGCTGCAGGAGGCACTAAACTGCTACGCCACCGGGGCTGCCTTCCTCAAAAAGTTAAACATAAGAATTGCCTTTTGACTCAGCATTTCCCCTCCTCGGTATATACTCAAAAGAACTGAAAAAAGGTACCCAACAAAACCTTGTATAAAAGTATCCACACCAGAACAATTCACAATAATCAAATGATAGAAACAATCCAAATGTTTCTTGCTAGATGGATAAAAAATTGTGGTATTTACATATAATGGAATATTATATCCATTTAGTAGCTTTATGGATATAAGATCAAGAGTTGCATGCCCTACTCACTGGGCCAGCCAAGGGCCCCTGTAGTGAAATATTATTTAGCCAAAAAAAAAATAATAATAAATGCTACAATTCATACATACCACAACATAAACTTTGAAAACATTAGAAGAAACCAGACACACAAAAAAAAACATTAATTGTATAATTACATTAAATGAAATATCTAGATCAGTTAAATCCATACAAATGAAATACAGATTGCTAGTTGCCAGGAAGAGAGAGGAATGGAAAGTAACTGCTTAATGGGTACACGGCTTTATTTTGGAATAATGGAAATGTTTCAGAACTAGAAAAAGGTAGTGAAGTCACTGAACTGTTCACTTTCAAATGACTAATTTTACTTTATGTGCATTTCAACTCAATTTTTAAAAATTATATAGATACACATATTGGCCCAGAAATTCCACTTGTAGGCATTTATCCGATGGATAGAAGCATATGTATAATAAAAGGATATAAGAACAAAAGTAAAGGTTATTCACTATAGCATTATTCTTAGAGCAAAAAGAAATAAACATCTTAAATGTTCATTAGTAAGAGGCTAGTTCAAAATGCCTTTATATATCAAGGGCGCCTGGAGGGCTGAACTGGTTAAGCGTTCAACTCTTGATTTTTGGCTCAGGTCATGGTCTCAGTGTGATGGGATCAAGCCCTAGGTCAGGCTCCCTACTCAGTGGGGAGTCTGCTTTTCTCTCTCTCCCTATGCCCCTCCCCCACTCCTGCAAGTGATTACTCACTCTCACAAATAAATCTTTTATTTATTTATTTATTTTTTATTTATTAAAGAGGTTTTGTTTTTTGTTTTTTGTTTTTTTTTTTATGATAGTCACAGAGAGAGAAAGAGAGAGAGGCAGAGACATAGGCAGAGGGAAAAGCAGGCCCCATGCACCGGGAGCCCAATGTGGGATTCGATCCGGGGTCTCCAGGATCGCGCCCTGGGCCAAAGGCAGGCGCCAAACCGCTGCGCCACCCAGGGATCCCTAAATCTTTTTTTTTTAATGTTACATACCCATAAAAAGGAATGAGGATCTTTACATTCTTTTTTTCTTTTTGTTTAGATTTTATTTATTTATTCATGAGAGACACACAGATAGAGAGAGAGAGAGAGAGAAAGAAAGAGAGAGAGGCAGAGACACAGGCAGAGGGAGAAGCAGACTCCACACAGGGAGCCTGACATGGGACTCAATCTCAGGTCTCCAGGATCAGGCTCTGGGCTAAAGGCAGCGCTAAACCGCTGAGCCACCCAGGCTGCCCCGAATCTTTACATTCTTACAGAAAGATGTCTAAGACACATTGCTAAGTATACAAAGCCAGTTGCAAACAATGTGTTGTGAATCACAATTAACATAAAAAATAAAGGGGGGCACCTGGCTGGTGCAGTTGGTTAATCAAATGACGCTTGATATTGGCTCAGGTCCTGATCTCACAGTTATGAGATCAAGCTATGGGTCAGGCTCTGTGCTCAGTGCAGTCTGTTTGAGATTCTCTCTCCCTTCCCTCTACACCTCCCACTTATGCTCTCTCTCTCTCTCTCAAATAAATTTTTTTAAAAAAAGAAAAATGTGAAAAGAAAAACATAAAGATGCTTAGAAATACATTATGATTACAAAGTAAAACCATTCCTACTCTGTGACCCAGCAATTCAAATCAGACTCTACCCCAGAGAGACATTTGCCAATTGACCGAGGAGACACCTACAAGTATGTTCACTGAATCCTGCTTGTGGGAGCAAAAACTGGAAACAACATTAAGTATCTGTTAACAGGGGAAGGAATTAATGAACCATGGTATTTCTACTAGAATTCAGGAACTTGGGGGATCCCTGGGTGGCTCAGCGGTTCGGCGCCTGCCTTTGGCCTGGGACGCGGTCCTGGGGTCCCGGGATCGAGTTCCGTGTCGGGCTCCTGGCATGGAGCCTGCTTGTTCCTCTGCCTGTGTCTCTGCCTCTATCTGTCTCTGTGTCTATCATAAATAAATAAATAAATCTTTAAAAAAAAATAAAAAAAGAAATCAGGAACTTCTCCAGCAGCTGGGAAGAGGAAGAGCACTGAGAATTCATTAGGACACTAATAGTCCAGGGATGGTAGAGAGTCTAAAAAACAGCCACCTACGGAAGAGCCTGCTCTAGCATTTGCTCATCAGGAGAGCCCCCAGGCTCCACAGATGTGTGGAGGATGGCACGGAGAGCAAGGTAGGAGACAAAGTGACCAGATGTTCTCAGTAAAGCAATTAGGTGTATGAACCCAGGGAAGAATGTGTCCATCTTGCCAGCAGGTAAGAGAGTATATGAGGAGAGCAACAGAAACATTTGTTTTGGCAAGTGATTTGAAAATTT